CAACTAGAGGAAAGGGCAAACAAATTAGAAGAAAACAATAAAGCCCTCCAAGAAAACAATAAAGCCCTCCAAGAAAACAATAAATTCCTGGAAGAAAACAATAAAGTCCTGCAAGAAAACAATAAAGTCCTGCAAGAAAACAATAAAGCACTGAAAGAAAATCATGGAGCAGGCTTCAACAGCAAATAGAGTTGGAAAATCCTTTCTTACATAAAGATGACATAGGGTACTGCCTATGTATTCTTCTAGCAGTTTCAGGTTTCACATTGAAGTTTTTGGTCCATTTGGAGGTAATTTTTGTAAAGGGTGATAGATATTCATCTAATATTATTCCTATGCATGTGGACACTGAATAATCTATTTTAGAGAAGCTTGCATAGACTTTTGAGTAGAATGTGAATTCTTTGGTGTTTTGGTGGATTATTGTGTAGATATCTCTTAAGTCCACTAGATGTGCGATATCATTTAATTTTGGTGTTTCTCTGCTAATTTTTCACCCAGATGACCTGTCTATTGGTGAGTGTAGGGTATTAAATCAACTACTATTTATGGGTTGATATTAATGTGTCATAACGATAATTCAATTAGTATTCTTTCTATGAAATTGAGTACACCAGAGTTGGTGCATATATATTTAGTATAGTAATATCTTCTTGGTTAATTTTTCTCTTGAGTAGAATGAAGTATCCTTCTTTATATCTTCTGATTAGCTTCATTTGATTTTGTCAGATATTAATATAGTGATGCCTGCTTGCTTCCTGGTTTCATTTGATTGGAATAGTTTTGTCCATCCTTTCATTTTAGGTGGTGCATATCTTTAAAACTAAGATGAGCTTCTTGCAGTTAATAGATAGATGGAATTTGTTTCAGAATCATTCAGCCATTCTGTGTTTTTTGCCTGGAGAATTGAAAACATCAATAATTAAAGATATTATTTAAAGGTGTGTGTTGTATAGCCAATCTATCTATCTATCTATCTATCTATCTATCTATCTATCTATCTATCTATCTATCTATCTATCATCTATCTATCTATCATCTATCTATCTATCTATCTATCATTTATTTATTTGTTTATTTCTGTTTGTGTTCATAACATTTTAGTATTTATAGCTTTATTTGTTTTTATTCACCCCAAAATATTGTTTCTTTTTATTTTTAGGGTTAGTCTGCATAAAATGAAATTTTTAAAGGCTATTTGTATCATGGGAAGTTTTTCTCTCTCCTTCAACTATAGAAGATGGTTATTGGGTACAATAGTTTAGTTTGGCAGTCATGGTCTTTTAGAATTTGAAGTGCATTGCTCCAAGCTCTTCTGGATTTCAAAGTCTCCACTGAGAAACAACCTGTTATTTGAATGGGCTTAATTTGTATGTGACTTGTGGTTTCTTTCTCACAGCTTTAAATACCCTTTCTTGTTTTTTTGTAGTGTTTCAACTACAATATGCCATGGGCAATTTCTTTTCTTGATCTGAGGTAACTCTTCCTCATCTATGGCTAAAATTTAAAATTTTGGTCTTTTTTTTTTGGTGTTCCATATTTCCTGCATATTCCATTCCTGTGCTTTAGTTTTTATTTTTCATATTCTTCCTTGTTTGGTCTAATCCCTATACTTTACAAGTCTTGATACTCTCTTCTGCTTGATCTACAATATGTGTAATTCTTTTCCTTGAGTTTTCCAGTTTGTTATCTCTTCAATATTTCTATATCTTTATTGAATTTGTACTTGAAATTCTGGATCATCTTCATAATTTCATTCAGCCATATGTTTACATTTCCTTGGGTATTACTCAGGAGCTTATTATCTTTGAGTCCATTCTTCTAAAGTTTATTGGGCTGTTTCTTTGTGTCTTCTTTACTCTCCTCAAATTCTTTGGTCAAGTTTATGATTGATCTTTTAAATTCTGTCCGGTGAGTCTTCTTACTCTCCTGGTTATATTTGGGGTTAGAGGATATTTTCAACTTATAAAAGCTTATTTGGTCCTTTTCTGACTCTACATTGAATTTTTATTTAAGTTCAGCACGTTTTCTAATTTAATATATAAGAATGCACCCTCTTACCAGTCATTCTTGATCTGATGGAAGTTTTGCTGTTTAGTAACATTAAAAATCCTTTATACAACTTCTTTAATGTTTATAAAAATTGTAAATGTTAAAATTATTTTCAAATCTGTATTCTCTAGCAATTTTCTATTTTCACCAAGTTCTCAAAATATAGCACTCAGTTGATATCAATTCTTTATAGTATGCAATGAGCAACCTGTATGTTCCTTCTGCCTTTCCCTTTCTAATGTTATTTATGCACTAACTTATCAAAGGTTTTTCTACTTCATTATATTTTTTTATTTTTCGATAGAGGCTTTCTCTGTGTAATCGTCCTAGCTTTCCTGAAACTCACTTTGTAGACTAGGATAGGCTCAAACTCACTGAGATCTTCCAGTCTCTGCCTCCCAAATGTTGGGATTAAAGAGATGCACCACCCCTGCCCGGCTTTATTATAACAAATTTTTATTTCATTGTTTAATTTTGTTTTAATGTGCATGCACATGTCACAGCACTTTCTTGTTGAATATTAGTTTAAGATGTGTTACATTCATTTATGCTGTGGAATATTTGTTTAATGGTGCAAAGACGCATTGCATTCTTTTATATTGCATGTGTTTAACTCTGTAAGGCTGTGTTAATTTGCCTGTCTAAAATATCTGATTGGTCTAATAAAAAGCTGAATGGTCTGAATCCTGGGACCTATGCAGGGACGCTTGGCTCGGTCTGGGAGGGGGGGACTGGACCTGGCTGGACTGAGTCTACCAGGTCGATCCCGGTCCTCAGGGGAGACCTTGATCTGGAGGAGGTGGGAATGGGGGGTGGGGTGGGGGGAGGGGGGGGGGGGGCGAGAGTGGGAGAACATGGGAGTCTGTGGCTATTATGTTGAACTAAATGATGTTGTAAAATAAATTTACTAAAAAAAAAAAGCTGAATGGTCAAAAACTAGGCAAAAGAGAGAAACAGGTGGGGTTGGGTAGGCAGAGAGAATAAAGAAAAGAGAGAGATAAAGGAAGAGTGAAAAAAGGAGGAGCAGAGGATGCCAAGAGCCACCCAGCTGCACAACCATCCACAGAATAAGAATGAAACATATATAGAGTAGAGAAAGGTAAAAATCCAGAAGCAAAAGGTAGATGTGATAATTTAAGAAAAGCTGCCTAGAAATAAGACAAGCTAAGGCCAGGCATTCGTAAGTAAGCATAAATATCCATGTATTTATTTGGCAGCTGGGTGGCGGGCCCCCAAAGAGCAGAGAGAAAAAAAAACAGAACAAAACTACAGAGCATGTGTGGAGGTCAGTGAATAAATTGTAGGAGTTGATGCTCTTCTTCAGGAGAATTTTGACTATTTTTCTTTAAAATATTGTTGGTGTAATTATCCTTTTTCTTAATGTAGTACAATTTTCTCTCAATATCATTTAATTATAATTGCCTTTTCAAAGAATAGCAATTTGTTAGATTAGATTTGGTTGCAGTAACAACCTCAAAAACTCCACTGCTTTCTGATTCAATCTTCAACAAAAAGAAAGTTAAGAAAGAAATAGTAACTTCATTGTCATTTTATGCAGTGTGTCCAGGGCAAATCATCCATTTCTACACACATGTCCTCCTATAAAACATGGATAGTAGTATAGAGCTGTAATTGGACAGATACAATACAAGCTAATGGAAAAACACTAAGTAGTAATGACTGGGAAGAATTAGTTAGATTATTTTAAAACCTCAGCTGTAGCATATCATTTTTCTAGGTATGAGGCACGGGAATGTTTCTGTAAAAAGAGAAGGATTTATGTGGTATGAAGAGAAACTAGAGTATGACCCCTTCTTATGACCTACAATCGAATCAGACTGATCATAAACTTTATCTTTGCTCAATTTTTTTTAGCACAGACAACCAAGAGAATGTTAGAGCTATAGTTTAGTATTTTATAGCTAGTTTGGGGGAAAGGTGATTTATTTTTTCTGAATTATCTTGAGAATAAGAAGTCTCATTTATATCTCTTACCTTGGGGAGATTAAGGAGTAAGAGAAATAAGGGCAAAAGATAATATAAAGGCGTTGTTCAACAAACAAATATTTGAGACACAGTCTCACTATGCAGCCCTGGCTGTCCTGGAACTTACTCCATAGACCAGGCTGGCCTTGAACTCACAGATATCACAAATGCTGGGATTCAGGGCATGTGCTACCATGCCCAGCTAAGACTTTGCTTTTGACAAATTTGTTTTGTAATATTTTATGAGGCCTAACACAGAGCAAAATGTAGTTCTTTAGCATTTTACTTTTTTTGGATAGATTAGATGAGAATCGTTTTACTTTTTACTTGTTAGTTACAGATTAGCTGAGATTCTAGTCCCTGACCTTTTAACTTGTAGATTCAGGCCAAATGGAAAGCCCTTTCAGGAACATTATAATTTCTGTGGCAGAACAATAGGAGCTATACACTTTTACTCTGATCTGTGATGTAAGAATAATAAACTCTTCCATATATAGAGGACCTATAGAGGGTATGAGTAATGGAAAGTAGTCCATGCTTTAAGGATCAACTTCACATCCACAGTTGAAAACACTGAGATATAAAATATTTTCATTGTTAGTTCCCTAGATGCATTTTTAGTTGTTTACTCCATCTTTCACTATTACTTGTTAGGACACCACTTGTGGCTTCTTAAATTGGTTTATGACTTTTTTCACTACATACATTATGCTTGTACTGGTTAATCAGAGTATGCATGAACAACTCATAGCATTTAAGAATGTAATAATGAACATATTTTTAAATGTCCACATACTGAAAATGTATTAATTTGTCTTTATCATACTAAGAAAGTAACATGTAACTCTCTCTTTCTCTCTTAATATTTACTTAATGAATTAAGAAGCCTGTTGTCATGTTAATAAAATCACCATCATTACAATTTGATTTTCATCATGGAAACATGTATTTCTTAAAAATGGTTAAATTTTTGTTAAAATTGTTGTAAGTGATTTATTTCCCTGTGACTCATTTGTCTTATTAATTTAATAACAAATCTCATGTTTTCTACATATTTACCATCACTCAAGACTGGGAAGATAATTTAGTGGAAAAATACTTACTACATGAATGTAAGGACTAGAGCTTGGATCCTTGGCACCCATGTAAAATATTGGCAGGCCTGGTGGCCTTCCTGTAGTCTCAGCAACAGAGAGTGGTGATCCCAGGCTGACTAGGATATAGTTCAGTCAAACTGAATCTATGAAGAAACTCAGTGTTAGCCTTTGGCCTCCATCTACATGTGCACAAACACTATTACACATGGTGTGCCTAAATATGTAAACATACACACATTAGCTTTATACATTTAATATTTGCTCAGACCCAATTCAAATGAGAGATGGGAGAGTGATATGTATATATGTGTGTGTATGCTATGTATATATATAAGGATGTATATATTAACCTTATACACCTAATATATTTCCAGACACAATGCAAATGAGAGATTGGAGAGTCATGAGAAAGAAGATAGTGATGTGAGTGTTTGGAAATGTAGCCCCAATTTTAACAAGAACTGAATCATTTACATAAATGAGTATTTTAAAATTTTCTTTAAGTTCAAAAATCATGAATAAAAATAGGCAAAATTAAAATTAGGCAAAAGTATCATACATTGGCTTCCACATTTTAAGTATACATTACTTTTATTTATGCATGTGTCAGTGTGTGTGTGTATGTGTGTGTGTGTGTGTGTGTAAACACACATGTTTATGTGCATGCATGTACCATGGTCCATGCATGGACGTCAAAGAAAAACTTTTAGGTTTCATTACTTTCTTTTCACACATGGGTCCCAAGGATGGAAGTCAATTCATTAGCTTTATCACCAATTGCATTTACCTATTCAACAAGCTTGGCAGCTAGTGGCTCCCATTTTAAATGTTGGAAAAGGCAATCCAGAAATGTGGGAAAGGTTCAGTTAAGTCAGGAGTTTACATGATTTTATGCTTCTATGGAAATTTTATCTTTTGCTTTCTAAAATTTTCAGATCTCAGATTCCACTCACATTATGTCACTTTCAAAACATTTTAGCTATTTTCAGCTTTACATATGTATATAATGACTACTGTTTCCTATATTCATGAGAATGAGTTTATATCTTGATTTAGATTTTTTATTGATTTATATTCACTTACATCTTATTTTAATTTGTTTAGACTTTATAATAAACTGTTTAGATCACTTTTGATTGGAGTAATCCATAAATTTCACCTGAATCTGGTAAGCAAGTTAAGACCAGCTGTGAACTGATTAGATTTTCATAACCTGCTTCCTTACAGCTGCATGTGACAGCAACACAGATGTAATTATGATTAGTGATGAGGTAAAGATAGAAAATTGTTAGGGAAATATCAGGTATTATTCAGATGCTTAATGAAGCTTTGTCCTGCAGAGTCCTGATAATAAGCAATGTGAGGCAATGTAGTGATATATGAATAGAAATAAAGGAGGTATATAGAGGGACCAACACATTTAAAACCTACATCTATGCTAAGACATTCATGTTAAAAGAGGGATTACATTTATATAGAACAATATCTCTGTTTGGTACAAATATCAGAAATGCTGTTGTATAATTCAAGTGTAAACCCAAAGAAATGATTACATGTAGGCACCATCATTTTTACTGCCAATGAAATTTAATAGTGCTATTCTTGCCTATAGCAAAATTGCATGTGGTTAAAAGTTGGCTAGTAATTATATATAGTTACATAGGAAAAAACAGCTGGCTGTCAAATTGTAGGGAAGCGATTCAAGCACAGTAGCATTTGATCTCTGCACTACTAGCAATTTCAGTATTTGCTGGCCATATGACCTCAAGAAAATGTGAAATTCTTGTGCTGTTTTCAGTTTGGGGTTATATACAATTGACACGTTAATATGGTATCTACTCAGATTAAGTAATGGTTTAAATCAAGTTGGGAGGTACAGGGTTGTGGGAGGGATTATAGAGAGAGACACCTAAAATTAAGGTATATTCGAAGAGTGTACCTGGAAGTTTTTTCTGTGTCCTGCTCAGCTGCACACTCCCTCAGCTGCTAATAACATAACCCCACAGAGGCTTAATATTAATTATAATTGTTTGGCCATTAACTCAGGCTCATTACTGACTAGCTCTTACACTTAAATTAATCCATAATTCTTATCTATGTTTAGCCATGAAGCTTGGTACCTTTTCTCAGTTCTGCCTTGTCATCTTGCTTCCTCTGTGTCTGGCTGGTGACTCTTGACTCAGCCTTCTTCTTCCCAGAACTTGCCTTGTCTGCTTATCCCACCTATACTTCCTGCCTGGCTACTGGTCAATCAGCATTTTATTTATCAACCAATCAGAGCAACACACATCCAAAACATACAGAATGACATTCCGCAGCAGAAGAGTAGTATGGAAACCTAATATAGTATAAACTTCCTAAAATATACAGATAAATGAAGTTGATGAAAATAATATCACCAAATAATAGGGGAGAAAGAGTCCCAACAGGCCATCTCTTGTCACTCAATAAAGCTTTTAGTACTGGGAATGAGTTACATCTAATTGAGTTATTGGCCAAATGTCTACAAGGGAATCACCAAACAATTCAGGCTGTTCCCAAGTCTATAGGTTGCCCTCCAAAAACTGACAGCAGGGCCCCGTTACTGAAGACAACACCCATACAACTCATTGAACATGGGGCTGTCTAGCTGGCACCTACATAGTGTCTTCACCCCTATGTGCTAGTGCCTTTGGTACAGGAAGGTACTCTGCATGCTACCAAAAGAGAAATGTAAACACCAAACCAGACAGAAGCATCCTGCCTAAAAGATATGCTAGAGCAACAGTGACACAAAGCTTGTGGGAGCAACCAAGCAATAACCAATTTGACTTGAGGCCTATACCATGAGATGGAACCCATTCTTGATACTGCTTGGGTGGCCAGTAACTTTAGACTACATAATCTGGGGACCTATGGGTAAACAAAATAACACTAGTCTGAAAAAGACAAAAGTATAGCAATAAAATGACTCTTAATAATATTCTGCTATACTCATAGGTCAGTGTCTTAATCAGCCATCATCAGAGAAAATTTCTCCTGCAGCAGATGGGAACAAATACAGAGACCCAGAGCCAGATATAAGGTAGAGATTGAGAGACCTTGTACCACCTAGCCCTGTGTGGGGTATCTCCATCAAATCATTCCCCTCAGAGCTCAGGGAACCCTGTGGAAGAGGAAGCAGAAAGAGTTTAAGAGCCAGAGGGGATGGAAAACACCCAGAAAATGAGGCCCATTAAATTACCATGAGTAAAGCTCATATGAACTCACAGGTCCTGAAGCAGCATATTTATTTATACAGGGCCTGCAGGGGTCTGCACCAAAGCCATTGTGAATATATTATGGCTTCCTATGTAGTGCTTTTATGGGATTCCTAAGTGTGCAAATGAGTGAGTCTCTGATTCTTGTGCCTTCTCTTGGGCTCTTTTCCTTCTCTTTGTCATTTACAACTTCAATGTGACAGTTTTTGTTTTATCTTATATTTTATTTTGTTGTATTTAAAAGAAAGAAAGAAAAAATGAAAACCTAGCCACTATGGTGGAGGTTACTGAACTGCCATTTACATCTGCTGGCAGAGGGATAATGAGTTTTCTCCAATGGAGTGACACTGGGTATATAAACCACTCCAGGACAGGTCTCATGTTCAAGAGTAAGTAACCAGCATACACTGGACTCTAACATGTATACTTTTATTTGGTTACAGTTTGTTTGTTTGTTTGTTTTCTTTCCAGGTATTGTTTCATTTTTGTTTTCTTGGTTTGAGAGTTTTGTTTTTGTATTGGGTTTTTGAGAAATAACTTAAAGTTGGTTATATAGGGAGGAGGAGAAGATCTGGAAGGATTTGGGGGACAGAGAAAACATGATCAAAATATATTTAAGTTTAACAACTGTTTTAAATAATAAAATACAATAAAAAAGAAAAAACAGTGGTAGGGGCTGGTGAAATGGCCTCTTGCTCTTTTTAGAAGATAAGGCTTGGTATTTGGTCAGCTTATAAAATTAATAATAGTTATCCTTCTGGTTATAGGGTAGATTGGAACATTGAGTTCTGAATGCAAAAGAAGTGAAAGAAGACATGGTAAATAATATGCAAAGTGGGGACATATGAGTAAAGATGATGAAGTACGAAGTCAAATAGAGGAAAAATAAAACTTGAATTAAATAAATCACTAATTGGTGGTGACTGGGGCCTTTAATTTCAAGGTACTCCAAAAGCTTAGGCAAGATAGCATCAACTTAAGTCCTATCTAAGATACAGAGTAATATCAAGGCCAATATGTGCAACATATTGCGAGTTTAACTCAAAATGGAAAGTAAACAATATGGCTGTTGTCATTGACTACCTCCCATAACTTGACAGTAAGATGCTCTTGCTGTAGATACCATGTACTTTGAACCCAAGACTTCAAGGAATCCAGCTGGAACTCAGAAGAAAGCCTTCTACCTGAGGATTAGTATCTGATGCTGCTACATAACTTATCAAGAAAGAAATGAATCAATAATCCTACATCACAGTTAAGCTTATGAACCAAAGCAATAATAATGACATCAATGCCCAAGGATGTTAGTAGTGGCATTTTTATCATGTAGTTAAACAAGAGTTGTGTCATTGAGGTTAAGGACAACTCAGTATGTGAGAATTCATGTCAGGTCCTGGAGATCTAGCCATTTGCCTGTGGCTGGTAATGTCATAGACTCCAGAAGAGAATCTACTACTCCCCCTTTCCTAAATCAGTATAATTTCTAACTAAAATGTAAATACTTATCCTTATACTCACAAATCAGTGTATCCCTCACCCCTCATCATAGAAACATCTTTTTTTTTCAGTTACAGATTATCAAATGAATTCACAATGGGTCAAAGTTCAGAGAACAACTGACTGTATGGTGTCCATTCTCAATTGATACATCTCCAACAAAAAGCCTAAACTTAAGTATCATGGAACATACCAGAAGACAGGTATTGAAGGTTTTTGCTCTTTTTTTTTTGGGGGGGGCACCCCCAGCTCCCAAATAAATCACACATGGAAGCTTATTTATTTTTACTTATCAATGTCTTGCCTTAGCTTGATTTCTTTCTTGCCAGCTTTCCTTAACTTATCCCATCTACCTTTTGCCTCTGGGCTTTTCCTGATCTCTTACTTCTGTAAGTCCTACTCTTACT